ATCGGTATTAATTCATACAATGTTTAAATTCATCAAAACCTTATTTATTTTTACCAAACATAAAAATAATCGTTAAATTAATTTAACATTTATTTCAAACAAGGTAAATTGTAGATTAATTGCTATTTATCTTCTTTCAGTCTCAAGATGAAAAACTAACTCCATAAGTTCCCAGGATTTTTGTTCACTCGTAATATCCTATCAATTTCTTAGCCGGTTTATTTTCTTATGTTATGAATTTTCCAATTCTAGCAATCAATTGTTTCATTCCGGTCTCAAATCATTCACAAATATGCATTACAATGGTCATCTACTCATACAGAAAAAATAAGCGCAATAAATTGATAAACGAAATAAAAACAATAAAAATGATATCACAAATCAATTCGAGTACAAACAAAACCTAGAATATAAGATAGAATTTACATTGAAACATGCTTATAAAATAGAAAAATAGATATAAAATATTTAGTTCAAAAGAGAAAAGAAAAAAAAAAAAACTTATTTGACCTCGTCGATCTCTTCTTCCCGACATTCTCCTTCATTTTGCGTGTGCTCCTAGCCGTTAGAACTCTTCAGAACTCTGAAAAGCTCTAAAAAAAACTCTCCCAAAGACGTGCCCTATTGTTCCTTAAGTAGTTGGGGACGAGTCCAGTCGAAATAGGCGGAAAACACCGTAATAATAGGATAAACGCGTGAGTTGGAGGCGCTCGACCCACACGACTTGTTTGAAAACACCACACGAGTCATGTGACAAAGTTTAGAGCGTGTATCAAACTCTTCGCTTGACACGACTCTTGTTGGACGACGCACGAGGCGTATGATACCCGGGCGCCAAAATCAACATTTTATTGACGACATGCAACTTTGGCATGTTCTACAACTTCTCAGGTGGTCAATAAACGACCAAACGGCCTCCCAGGTGTCGCGAATGGCGTACATGTACTCAAGTGGTCGGACATGGTGGATTCTAGCCATCCACCCACATCAACTTTTCTCCAGCACAAATTCGACATCCGGACGGCTTTTACGGTGATAGGATGGTGGAGGCAGTCAACTTGCCTCCAGAAAATAGACTGCAGAGATATGGCGAATAGTGGTGGAGAAACGGCAGATTCATAGCACAAATGCAAAGACGGACAACTTTTAAGAAGCTAATGACTTGTGCATGTGACGTAGCGAAAGCTAACGAAATGGATAAAGGAAGAGAAATGCTCTCAAATATCTTTGTTAATTAAATTCAACCGATTGAAACGCAAGAATATCGAGTCTTTAAATAGACTCTAAAAAAACCATAACTTCGTCTAACAAGTAAATGATATTTAAATATATTTTCTACCAAATAAAAGAGTAGAATAATTAATTAATTTTAATAACAAACTAAGACTAAAATAATAATAATAAATAAATAAAATGAATAAATTATTATATTAATGATCCAAATATTAATTGTACCACTAATTTAAAACTGGATTGCTATTTACCGCCCCCCTAT